GGAGAAGGGGAGATGTGAAGAGAGGGAGGAGGGAAGGGGGGCGGGGGAGAGGGGGGAAACCGACTGGAAAGCTTCAGGGTGACGACAAGAACGTGGCTTTGTCTGGAAGGCTGTGGTTAAAATATATGAGGGAGTTTTAAGATACATTTGGTCTTTCTTTTTATTTTTGGTCGGAGAATCTGATTTTGCATTTGTTTTTTTTTTTTTTGGGCGGAGAATCTGATATTGTTTTTTTTTTTTTTTTTTTTCGGTTGGAGAATGTGATTTTGTGTTTGCCTTCCAACTTTCAAGGGCCGGCGGAGTGATGTGGGCCGTAACTATGATAGCGTTAGCAGAAGGTTTCAAACACGCTTTCGTCTCAGGGCCTCGCCACTCCACTGTCGAAACAAAAAAGGAGCGAATGCATCTGAATCGGTAAGGTGCATCCGCTGCTATTCATAGTAACGGATGCATCTTGCCATCCTTGGCGGCAAGATGCACTCGTTTATTTTTAGTGTCGATAGTGATATGGAAGGCACAGCTGCGATCTTATTAGAGGAAGGATTCGGTCACGTTATCCCTTTTTTAATAGGGAGGTGGCCGGGGGAGAGCGGAGCGGATTACATTAACGTATGGTCATTATAGCTGTATGTATGTAGAATGAAAGACACCCCAAATCCAGCTACAAAACCGTACGTTGTATTCGTGGGAGGAAGGTAGCCTTCAGCTGAGAGGGCAGTCGGCGTCGCTGTCCGTCTTGAGGAGGGAAAGATACCCGAAATCCAGCTATAAAGACTGTACGTTGTAGTCGTGGGAGGAAGGTAACCTTCAGCTGAGAGGGCAGTAGGCGGCGCTGTCCGTCTGGAGGAGGGACATTCGGGGATGGGCAGATGTCGGTTTTGAACGCAGTGATTTGTAGCGCTCTAGGGTTGTTCAACGTCTCGGTCCGTCGACGCAATGACGGTGAGCCGCCAGGAAAGCCACATCTTTATCTTCATGTGGCTGTTTGAGTGCGGAGGGTCCACTTGATTACGAATAAACAGTCGAGATTATGTGTGGAAGTCGTCGTTTGACAGGGCAGTTTGCCTCGCTGGGAAATCCACATGTGGCTGTTTGAGTGCAGAGGGTCCACTTGATTACGAATAAGCAGTCGAGATTACGTGTCGGAGTCGTCGTTTGACAGGGCAGTTTGCCTCGCTGGTTTCCCAAGTAAGGTTTGTAGCAGATTCGTCGAGTTTGCCTCGCTTTCTCAAGTAAGGATTGTAGCAGATTTGTCGCGTTCACTTGATTACGAATGAACAGTCGAGATTATGTCTGGGAGTCGTCGTTTGACAGGGCAGTTTGCCTCGCTGGGAAATCTACATGTGGCTGTGAGTGCAGAGGGTCCACTTGATTACGAATGAGCAGTCGAGATTACGTTTGGGAGTCGTCGTTTGACAGGGCAGTTTGCATCGCTGGTTCCAAGTAAGGTTTGTAGCAGATTCGTCGAGTTTGCCTCGCTGGTTTCCCAAGTAAGGATTGTGGCAGATTTGTCGCGTTCGAAATTGGCGTTTGATCGACATGTGCCTGATTAAGTGCAGAGGGTCCGTTTGTGATTACGAATAAACAGTCGAGGTATGTGAGAGTCGATTGATGACAGGGCAGTTGGCCTCGCTGGTTTTCCAAGGAAGCATTGTAATAGATCTGTCGCGTTGTTGAGTTTCGTTCAATTGTGTCCGTCTCTGGTTGCAGCCACGATGACCTCCCACGAAGAGAGATTCGAAATGGACAGTTATTTACCAGTAGCCTATATATAGCTGCTGCCCTATTCACCCGTATAGAACGCGCTGTCAGTATAGCCATATCTACCGTTTTCCCCCGAACCCTAAAAATGAATGTATACAAGCTATATTTCCGGCCAGCTCCAGTCAAAATGAGGGTGCGTTGTGTTCGGGGGAAGACGGTAGGCTGAAAGTTGCCCCGACGGCAGACATAGTGACCTGGCGTTCTGTCCGGGTGACGTCGACGGTAGTTGTTGGGATTTTGCGACATTGCCATCCTGTACGTTTGTTGTATATCGAATGCACGCTACCGTCTTCACCCGAATAGAACACTCGTCCATTAACGCTGTATCTAGACTGGAAGTTGCCCCAAATACAGATGTAATGAGCGGCCGTTTTATTCCGGTGAAGACGGTAGCGGCACGGAGTGCTGTGGACTTAGGTATTCGTCTCGGGCACATGAGCGTGCTTCACTTGCGGCGTTCGTATCATGATGGCTGTTTAGGGATAGCGAGAGGGGAAGAGATTTGAATGGACACGTGAAGTTTGTCGAGTGTAGCGGTTCCTCCTTGTTGATTACAGGCTGTACCGTGGTATGCGCGTCGTCTGTCAGCTCGGCTGCTGCTGCCGCAACAGTAAGTCATTTTGCTGAACCGCACCGGCGAGCCTCTGCACTCTATATATTTTCAATTTTTCATGTACGATGAGTGAAGGTCCTTAGCATTTCGTAGAGAGAGAGAGAGAGAGCAGAATGAGGATGTTTGCTGTGTTCTAGGACGTGGACGGACCGGTTAGGTAGAGGGAGGGAGGGAGTTAGATGGAGAGAGAGAGAGAGAGAGAGAGAGAGAGAGAGAGAGAGAGAGAGAGAGAGAGAGAGAGAAATGAGGGTGTGGACCGGTTGGGCATGGATGTTAGGAAGGGCAGTGCAACAGCACTCGCTGTCAGTTGGTAGGGGCCTCAGTGGAACAAATCCATGGATTTTCATACGAGCTTTGCGCGGATTGGGTTATTATAGCTGTTGTGCTTGGGGGAACGTTTTGTCTAGGTGCAGCGATAATGACCGTGCGTTCTATTCGAGTTTTTTCTCCCGAAAGACTCCAGGTCATTATAGCTGTTGCGCTTGGGGAAACTTTTAGTCTAGGTGCAGCGATAATGACCGTGCGTTCTATTCGAATGCCATTAAAGCTGTACGTGGGGTAACGTTCGGTCCAGATGCAGTAATGATGGCTGTGCGTTCTATTCGGATGAAGACGTTAGCGTCGTGTTCTTAAGGTACGAGCTCACACGGGTCGCTAAATGCGAGAGACTCGTATTGGCCAACCCCCCAAGTGATTAATTGTTGATGTTCTACCTTCTTCACTCGAATAGAACGCCCAGTTTGATATCTGTGTATTTGGGCGAGTTTTCAGTCTGAATACAGCGATATTGAGCGGGCGTTTTATTTGGGTAAAGATGGTTGTTTAGATGAGCGAAGTGCAGCTTTGGAAGCAACGTACGGCCAGGGCATCAACGCAACGAATCTCGTATAGACTAACCCACTACCGTCTTCCCCCGAACACAACGCACCCTTATTTTGGCTGTATCTGGCCGGAAATATAGCTTGTATACATTCATTTTTAGGGTGCGTTGTGTTCGGGGGTAAACGGTAGTGATGTACGGTTAGGCTACGGGAGTAGAGGAGGCTTCTATTGGCTTTAACTCGCGCGATGTACCCGTTAAACGTACGGGTTGAGTGGAGTGATTATGATGATTATACTCTTTTGCAGGTTAATAGGCCTCGATTCATGTCGTTTGATTTGCTGATTAATATGGCCTACAGAGTGACGAGTGTCCATGTTGAAGTACAGGATTGGATTGAAGACTGGTGGCTTCCTCTGTTCTTCCTATTGTTGATTGACGTCTTTCATGGGAGTGGTTAGTAGGCCCCTGGGCCGGAATTCTTAATAGCTACAGTCGTCCCCCGAATACAACGTACGGTCATTATAGCTGAATTTAGTGCATCTTTCAGTCTAAATTCAGTTAAAGTGACCGTACGTTGTGTTCGGGGGAAGACTGTAGCCCTCAAGTTATATGAGTATCGGTTTATGTTAGAGCAGAGGCCTCAAAAGTATGGCTTGCTCCCTGCTGATTCCCATTTCTAGCTAGCCCTCCTTAGGTTATCGGTGTATGTCAAAGCAGAGGCCTCAAAGAGTCTGGCTTACGCCCTGCTGATTCCCATTTCAAGCTAGCCTTTCTTAGGTTATGAATATCGGTTTATGTCAAAGCAGAAGCCTCAAAAGTCTGCCTTGCGCCCTGCTGATTCCCATTCTAGTGTGTACAACACACACACGAGGAAGTGTACTACAGGAGACACGGCTTGAAAGAGGTCTGACGCGTCCTTTGCGAAGTCGAAGATGAAGAATTGCCATGTGACCCTGAGATCCAGTTTATTTTTGTGCATCAAGTAGTTGTTGTTTTTTCCCCCCCTGGGCCCTCCCCTGGTTCTTGCACGATCGGGCTGCTCGGTCAAGCGAGGAGACAAATTTAGATGCTTTTATTTCATTTACATAAACAAATCCGAGTGTTTGTTACTGGTCGACCCCTTAGCACTTGCGGATACTGTTTCTCTCTTTCTCTCTCCGCACGGAGAAATACAGGCGTTTTAATGGAGTGTCTTGTGGGCTTAAGTATCACTTGTATCGCCGAATGGAAGCTGTAAATGTTGTGATCATGCCCCTACCGTCTTCACGCGAATATAATGCCCGGTCATAATCGCTGTATCTAGGAACGAGAGGGCGTTCTATACTGGTGAAGACGGTAGTGTGAAGTTAGCTTGCAGACTTGGACTATAGGGGGCCTTACGGCCGTCTGGAGACAAGATATGTAAGCTGACAGTTTATTAGTGTGGAGTTAGCTTGCAGACTTTCGACTATAGGGGGCCTTACGGCCGTCTGGAGACAAGATATGTAAGCTGACAGTTTATTTAAGTTAGGCTTGAGAGCAGGGAGCTCGCATATATCAGTTGTGTGAAGTTAGCTTGCAGACTCTTAACTATAGGTGGCCTTACGGCCGCCTGAAGACCAGATATGTAAACTGACAGTTCATCTAAGTTAGGCTTGAGAGCAGGCAGGTCGAATATATCATATCAAGGAATGGAAGTGGCGTGTGGTGCCATGTCGAGGATTTTTTTTTGTGTGGAGGAACTGTGAAGTTGTATGGGATCGCTTAATTGTCGAATTGAAGTTGTGAATGTTCTGATCTTTGCTGTGTTCGTTTGTTCAGTTCAAGGAGCTCGCGCATGCATATGAGGTGCTGAGCGACGCAGAGAAGAGGGAAATCTACGATCAGTATGGAGAAGATGCACTCAAGGAAGGAATGGGAGGAGGAGGAGGACCCAGTGTCAACCCCTTTGACTTGTTCGAATCCTTCTTGAATCCCGGCTTTGGTGGGGGTAAGTCTCTCTCTCTCTCTACCCCCTTCTTCATCCTCCGCCCTCTGTTGTTCTGCTCTCTGGCCTCTTTTTTTGGGGGGGCGGGGTTGGGGGGGGGGGCGGGTAAGTCTCTCTCCACAATGTCAACCGCTTCGGCTTGTTCGAATCCTTCTTGAATGCTGGCTTCGGTGGGGGTCTCTCTTTCTCTCCCCCCCCCTTGTTCTCCACTCTCTGTTGCTCTGGGGACTCACTACACAACACTACATGAATGTGGCCTAAAATGCGGACCAGATATTGATGATTTAGTGAACATCCGGAATGTACACGGATTATATGAGGATGAGTAACAGGTCCATGTACTTTTCGAGCTCTTTAGAGGAGCAAGGCGTGGAGTTTCAGTCCACAGGGAACTCATGTACAAGATGAACCGAACCAGCACTGCACTTTTGATCTTTGTGTAGACTTCCTTCCTTGCACGGGTTCATTGGTTATTTGTCGGTGTAAGTTGGGGACAAATCGATCTTTTTTTTTTTTTTTTTTTTTTTTTTAAATTAACCACGGGCCCTGGTTGCTAGTGATGATGATAAGAGCATCCACCGCTAGCAACCCAGCCGCTGGGTCCATTCTATTGGTGGGGAGCTGCACCTCCTTGAAACGGGGTTCAGCGTCCCTCGTATACAATACACTGAAAGATGGTTCAAGGAGAGATGTGTCAAAAAGGAGAGCTGCCTGTAGGGCGTGAATTGTTGTTGGAGATAGCTCGGTTCTGAATGCGAATGCAATGCTGTTGTGTTTTCCTATCAGGAGGACGAAGCGGAAGGCGGCAAAGGAGAGGAGAGGATGTCGTTCATCCTTTGAAGGTTACGCTTGAAGACTTGTACAATGGTACCTCGAAAAGGCTGTCCCTCTCAAGGAATGTCATCTGCACAAAATGCAAAGGGTACGCAGCAAAAACCTTAATTAAATCACCTTGGCGAATGACCTTGGCATTACCAAATCGCCGTAGAAAATTACTTCAGCAAATAAATGACATTCGCAAATGACCTTGGCAAATGACTTTGGCAAACTATGAAGTACAAATGACTTCGGCAAATTATGAAGTGGACGCGCCGCAGCAGCGCTGCGGCCGTGGAGGGGGAGCGAAGGCGGAGGCAGGAGTGAGAAATGTTGGGTGTAAACGGAAAAAAGGAAAAAAAAACGAAGGTAGGCAGAGAGAGGGCACGTGCCGGGAGGAGGGAGAAAAATAAAAATAGATAGCGGCGAGAGAGAGAAATAGCGGAGTGTGTGTGTGTGTGTTTGTGTGTGTGTGTGAGAGAGAGAGAGAGAGAGAGAGAGAGAGAGAGAGAGAGAGAGAGAGAGAGAACGGGTAAGTGGTCAACATCGTGGCCGGCGTCACAGTAGTTTCATCGAGAGGATGAGGAAAATCGAATGAATCTACGGTTTTTTGTTAGTTTGTTTGTTTGTTTGTTTCTTTTTTTTTTTTTTTTTTTTTTTATGCGTGTGTGTGAGAGAGAGAGAGAGAGAGAGAGAACAGGTAAGTGTCCAACCTGGTGGCTGGCGTCATGGTACTTCCATGAATCTACCGCTAGAACATGGAAATATGCACTGCCCCACTTGGTTTTTTTTTTTTGTGTCCGTGTGTGTGTAACCTGGCGCTGGCTTCATGGTAAGTCCATGAATCTACTGCAGAACATGGAAAGATACATTGGCACACTTGTTTCGGTTTTTTTTTTTTTTNNTGTGTGTGCGTGTGTCTGTGTGTGTGTGTGTGTGTGTGTGAGAGAGAGAGAGAGAGAGGGAGAGAGAGAGAGAGAGAGAGAGAGAGAGAGTCTCCAATCTTGTGGCTGGCCTCATGGCCTCCTGTGGGTGGAAGCAATGATGCCAGCCGCGAGATTGGAAACTTACCTGTTGTTTCTCTCTCTCTCTCCCTCTCACATTTCCACGTCCGCGACTGCGTCGTCATCACCCTGCGCGCCAGCATTTCTCTGGCCCACCGTTACTTCAGCAAATAAATGACCTGAGCAAATTACCTTGGCAAATTACCTGAGCAAAGTACCTTGGCAAATTACATGAGCAAAGTACCTTGGCAAATTATCTGAGCGAAGTACCTTGGCAAATCACCCTGCACAAAATGCAAAGAGTACGTAGAAAAAATCTTACAAATCACCTTGCAAGTTACGTTGGCAATTTTTTATCAGGTAAATTACCTTGCGGAATTACCTTGGGAAATAATCAGGTAAATAATTGTAAATTACATCGCCAACCTATCTTGGCAAATGAGGGCATACTCGCACTCTTACTTTCCGAAGTGCATCAGACGGCAATTTGGCCACACCTGAATGCATCTGACCGCAATTCCGTCTAGAAATATGTGAAAACGGCCAGTGTGAGTATATGCCCTGTCTCTTATACACATCTAGATGTGTATAAGAGACAGCCTTGCAAGTTACGTTGGCAATTTTTTATCAGGTAAATTACCTTGCGGAATTACCTTGGGAAATAATCAGGTAAATAATTGTAAATTACATCGCCAACCTATCTTGGCAAATGAGGGCATACTCGCACTCTTACTTTCCGAAGTGCATCAGACGGCAATTTGGCCACACCTGAATGCATCTGACCGCAATTCCGTCTAGAAATATGTGAAAACGGCCAGTGTGAGTATATGCCCTTACCTTAAATTACATTGCCAACCTATCTTGGCAAATGAGGGTATACTCACACTAGCACTTTCAAAAGTGCATCAGATGGCAATTCGGCCACACCTGAATGCATCTGACCGCAATTCCGTCTAGAAATATGTGAAAACGGCCAGTGTGAGTATGCCCTTACCTTGGCAAAGTAACTTTGCAAATTACGCAAGGGCAAGTCCCATCGAAGTGGTTTGACATTTGGTGTGTTTTGGGGCCATCGTTCGAGAAGTTTTGGCCTGTAATCTGTTGTAGATGGTTTGTGGGGATTAAGATATATGGGCCTTACGTCCCATGTGGTGTGTACCCAAGGCAAGTACCAGCGAAGTGATTCGACCTTCATGTTTTTGGGGCCATCATTCAAGGGACTGTTGCCTGTAATCTGGTGGAGAAGGCTCGAGTGTGTGGATGTCTTGTGCGGAGAGTAGGATATATGAACCTTCCTTAGCATGTGGTGTATCCCTCCCCTCTCCCTCTCCCCCCCGCTCCCTTCTCTCTTTGTCCCCCTTTTGTGGAGATTGGTGTGCGCCACCCCTTCCCCCCCCCCCCTTTCCCCGGAAGGGCTCCTCTCCCCTTTGGAGTTGTGTAGGACCCCTCCGGACCCTCCTCCCCTCTCTTTCCGAATGCTGTCTCTGCATTGTTGGCATGATATTGGAAACTGGGCGAAATTGGGGTGGCGGATTCGTTGAGGGTCATGATAGGGCACCGGAATGCTAAGCGGGTTATTGGGGAAACCTGCATGTGATCTGGACAGGGGTTAATTTGTAATTTGTATGCCTTTAATAGTACTGCGTAAACGCCCCGTGTAAGTCATTCGCCACAGATAGCCCACACACCATGCAAGGTGGAATTTCTGGTCTGTATTATGTGATTTCTTTCATAAGGTGAATCGTGTTCGGAGTCAGTGGAACATGATGGGCGTGCTTTTGTCTCGTTTGGGTAAATGTGCAGAAAGGGATCGAAATCGGGAGCCATTGCAAGGTGCCAGGGGTGCCAAGGCTCAGGAATGAAGGTTTCTATCAGGCAGCTTGGGCCAGGGATGATTCAGCAAATGCAGCACGTCTGTCCAGACTGTAGAGGTTCAGGTATGTTACCTTGTGACATTTCAGTGCCTATTGAGTGATGTAATGTGTCTGAGAATTGTCGCGCCCTGCGGTGGCCATGTTCTGTGTGGAAGTCTTTGGGGGTTGTCTATGATGAGAGAATGATATTTGCTTTCTAAGTGGTGTGAGTGCGTCTGACAATGTTCTGTGTGGAAGTCTTTGGGGGTGCGCCTATGAGAGGAAGAGGAAGGTCCTTGCTACCTATGTGGTGTGAATGTGTCTGATGATTGTCAGCCTGGGAAGGGGCTGTCTTCTGTGCGTATGTCTCTTTTGAGGTGCCCGTTAGTGGATGGATGGGGTGGTAATGAGCGATGAGAATGCTGTAGATCGTTGAGGCGGTCTGCAGAATGGAAGGTTATACACTTGTGTAAAGTCTCTTTTGGGTCTCTGCGAGGTAGCAGTGGTCATGTACATCTATTGCTGGCCTGAATTGACGCACCGGTGAGCAGAATGGAAGCTTATACACTTGAGTAAAATTTCTTTTGGATCTCCGTGAGGTAGCAGCGGTCGTATACATCTTATGCTGGCCTGAATTGGGACTGGTAGTGCTGAAGACCATGCTGCAGTGCGCTGGGGCTATCTTGAGCAGTGAATCGCTGAAGTCTAGCTATGGGGAAGTTGACACGAGTGTTGCTGATAGTGCGAGTGTGTATCTGTGGAACCTGTGGTCTGAATGGATGAGGGTTTGTTTTCTTCTTTTAAAGATTTTATTATTATGTCTGGGGTTGATGTGCATTGACCCCTCGTCTGCTTATTCTATTCCGCCTATTGTGTGCAGGTGAAACCATCAGTGAGAAGGACAAGTGCGGGACTTGCCGTGGCAACAAGGTTGTACAAGAGAAAAAGGTTCTCGAGGTGGAAGTGGAGAAGGGCATGCAGCACAATCAGAAGATCACGTTCCAGGGCGCTGCGGATGAAGCGGTCAGTTTTGTTTTCTGTCTATATGCCTCTTTTTTCTTGTTGTTGTTCAATTGTAAAAGACGAAGCGGTAAGTTTTTTTTTTTTTTTTTGTTTTGGGAAGTAAGTTTTGTTTTCTCCGTCTATACGCCTTTTTTCTTGTTGTTCAATTGTAAAAGACTTTTTTAATCCTCCAGGTTACAGTTTTACTATACAGCGCATGCAAGAGCCCTGCTCTGGACGTGGGCATGGCGATCGAATTACTTGTAATCGATGCCAGCACTGAAACCCTGGAACAATAGATGCTAAACTTAGGAGAGGTGAAGAAGTTTACTTATCCCTAACTGCTTCGGGCAAAAGATGTCGGAATCACTCCGTCTGGGGCATCTCGAAAAGCATGAAATGGTCTTCAGACATGTACCACATGCAGAGGGAGAGCATGCATCTCTTTCCCACTGCTTGTGCACCTTTGCAAGTGCACTGATGCCCTCTTTTACATGATGTCCTCCTGTCGGCTTCAACCAAAAGGTGCTAGCCTGTTCTCCTACTAGATAGAGTAAGGGGCTCTTGTGCTGTAACGTGTCTACAACGACCGGACAGATGTTTGTCATCCCCCCCCCACCCTGCCCCCCTCACCACAGCACAGCGTAAGATTGCGGCGACCTAAGCGTTCTTATATCTGTGACTGGAGTGCCTTGTGTTGGGGTAGACTTGAAGAGATGTGACAGGAAGACCTTTTAGACGACCTAGAGGATCCATTAAGCCACAGACCTGACACCATGGCTGTTCCAATGTGGATGGTTGGGTGGGAGTTGGCGGATTAGACCAATTAAGCCGCAGCAAGACCCTGTAGGACGAACGCCATAGCTATCACTGATTGAAGGCAGTGTATTTGTGGTGCCTCGAAATCCAGTGGTCGTTTGAGACTATTCTTTTGGCTTGTTTTGACTGAGTTCTTTGTCCATTCCTCTTGGTGCTGTGCAGCCTGATAAGATCACTTTTCACTTTTGTCTTACCGACGGGCCTAGCTCAGTTGGTACCCCCCCCTGAACTGTTGAAATACGAATCAGACCCAAGTTCGAGTCCAGATGCAGTCAGATTAACCAAGTTACACGTTTCTGAATTATCTACGACCAGTCAGTTATTGTTTGTGCTAACGTTGAGCATTCTGTACTGTTGGTGTTGTGCAGCCTGATACGGTCACTGGAGACATTGTTTTTGTTCTTCAGTTGAAAGACCACCCGAAGTTTAAGAGAAAGGGTGATGATCTCTTTATGGAACACACTCTGACTCTCACGGAGGCTCTCTGCGGCTTCAAGTACTCCATCACCCATCTTGACAATCGCCAATTACTTATCAAGTCGAATCCCGGCGAAATCATCAAGCCTAGTCAGTTCAAGGCGATCAATGACGAGGGTATGCCGCATCATCAGAGGCCGTTTATGAAGGGCAGACTCTACATTCATTTCAATGTCGATTTCCCAGAGAACTTAACTCCTGAGCAGTGCAAGGTAAGATTATGTCAGAGTACAAATAGATAACTTTTTAATCGCTTGTGATTTTTGTGAAAATTCACCGGCCTTGTTTGTTTTTTTTCGAGCCTTCAAAATATTTTTTTTTGTGTTTTTGAGTAAGTTTTTTTGTTTGCCAAACATTTTCCAAGATTTGTCGACAAGTCGTTTATGAAGGGCAGACTCTACATTCATTTCAATGTCGATTTCCCAGAGAAGTTAACTCCTGAGCAGTGCAAGGTAAGATTGTGTCAGAGAGTACAAGTTACTTGTCGACCTTGAGAGTGAGAAAGTCGAGGGTGAGCAGAGCAGGGGTATTTAACTTTTTTTTTTGTTTTACTTTCTTTCAAGGTAATGCTTTTATGATTGTGTCGAGTTCGATGCTCATGAAACTGCATTTGGCGAGTACGAACGGCATTCGGCGAGTACGAATGATTTCTTGTTTTGGACTTCTAAACCGCCAACTCTGTATATCCTAGAGTCCCCTAGACTTGCTGAAAATGCTTTGTAACGTACTCCAAGTAAAAAGGAAAAAACTTGAACCAACTAAAAAAGAAAAAACTTGAAACAAGTAAAAAGGAAAAAAAGTTGTTTAAGCCACGGCTACCTGTCTTATGTGGGTGCATGTGGCTCCGAATTCGAGTTGAGGTTGGGGGCCGCCTGTGAAAATTGTTGACGGCTGCCCAGCAGGTATATTTTCGGATGATGCTCTTTTCCGGCTTATTATATGGCCGGAAATGCTGTGGCGGTCCTTTAAACCACCAGTACTTGGCCCAGCTATCGGCCGTGGAAGAAAACAGAGTAGAAACGTTTCTAGTTGGATGAATTTGGGCGCTCCTGTACTGACCCATACGTTTCTTAAAATCGTGGCGCGTTAACGGGCACGACTCTGGGAAGTATGGCAGCGGTTTAAACCGCGAGTCTGACTCCAGGGGCGCTGTAGATTTTACTTGTTAAGGAGTACCTGGTCAAAATCTATGGTGCCCAGGCCCAGTAGCCCAGACCCAATTGACTTCCCAGTGGGGGTAGTCTGGTTGGCCGTCGTTAAAAAAGAATGTGCCACAATGATGAATGAACCCTTATTACTTGGACTGCTTCCGGCAAAGTATGGCGGAATCTGAATGGTGTCATGTTGATGCTCCTACGTTCTGTTTGCATGAGATTAGGACAAGTTCATCTGATGTTATGGTGAGGCCCTCACGTTCTGTTTGCATGAGATTAGGACAAGCTAGGACAAGCGGAGTTGGTATGCCCATGGACTGTTGAAAAAATTCGAACTCAAGTTCTAATCCAGATGCCATCAGACGAAGAGAATATAAAGTAATTTTGAATTGCTTGGGACCGGTCAGTCTCCCTTTCTTAAGAGAAGGTACACAGTCGACGGCAGTAGCATGGAAGTAGAAGAGGCCGTGGGGTTTTTAAGAAGTGATGGTGGGACTCATGCTTTGATGGCCGTGTTTCTGGTCCTGTCTGTTTGCAGACTCTCGAATCTGTCCTGCCACCGAGACCACCGAATCAGTTGACGGATATGGAAATTGACGAGTGCGAGGAGACGACGCTCCATGACGTCAACATCGAGGAAGAGATGAGAAGAAAGCAGCAGCAACAACAAGAGGCGTACGAGGAGGATGCGGAGGAGTCGGGGCCTCGCGTACAATGCGCTCAGCAATAGAGGGTGTTTGCTGTAAGTGGGGGCTTACATTTTTCAGCGTGAAATTTCTTGCTCAGGGGAACCAATGGTTGCAGACGGAAGCAGTGGGAGAGATCGGCCAGGTGCGTGGATGGATGTAAATCGACGTAAATTGAATACTAGAGTGAATGGAGTGAAGGAGGACATTACTATCCTGGAAAAGGGGACCTGAGCATATCACCGAAGTGTCAATGGAGGGAAGACCGAAAATTTTCCTCACACGGCTTTTCCTCAATCTGTCTTAGGTCACTCGTTTGCAGGAGAGATATGCCTGTAGATGTGTGAAGGTGGTGTGTGAGGGGGAGAAGGGAGGTGGTAAACATGGTGGGTCCCATGTGGAGGGTGGGAGGGAAAGGTCAGCAGCGGAAGGGTCATTTCTTGCGGAATCGACATGATGGATGGCGCAGATATTGAGGGTCAGCAGGTGATTGATGGGGGTTGCGTGTTCCCATCCCTTAATTTCCGTTCCCTCTGGTGGGGGTGTAGAGGGGCAGAGCTGTGTGGCTAGTAGTTAAAAGTAACTTAGCCTGAGTATTGGTGCGGAGGGGCAGAGCTCTAACGTATGCCTCCTCCCTCCCCCATCATCCCAGACTGACGATACAAGGTGACTATGACGAGGCAGACTGATCGGGGCGCCCTCGTATGCCTGTCTGAGCTACTTTCTGCGATCCGCCACACCTTATTGTGCGATGTCTGCAGTTGGAGCGCAAAGCAATTCTTGAAAATGATGTTGGCGTATTGCGAAGACTGCAGTCGATGACCGGGCCCGCGGTACTTGCGCTATGTCGGCTGCCGGTGTAGTGGGAGGGAAGCTGTAGAAAGTGAGTGAAATCTTCATTCTTTCATCCTTTGAGAGAGGCGGCTGTCTTGTCGACGGAGGACGGTGGTAGGTGCTGTGATTGGTGGCTTTTGTTCTCTTTCATTTTGATGTCCATTGTGGAGGATGGACAATTGACAGGGAGAAATTGGTCGGTCGACTTCCATGGAAAGGTACCTCCTACTTGTCTGCAGGGGCCGTGGATTGCACAATCCTTCGTATGCGACATGATTCGTCTCATGCTATATTGCGTTCCGAAGGCGAGCGGTTGGGCGTTGTCTGGTAGCGGGTGATTGTACAGAGGACATCTTTTGTTAGAGAAGCAGCAGGAGTGCTATCGGGGCAGTTGGGACTTGTCAAGCTGTGAGCGGTGTAGCAGTGAAGGATGATTCGTATCGAAGCTGGTCGTTGCCGGTGAGGGAGAAGAGTATGTCTCTGCAGACGTACTTTGGTGAGAAAGGGAGGGAAGAGTGCTGGTTTCGTCGTCTAGAATCTTTGAAAGAGATCCCTGGCGTCCGAAACACATGCATCCCCTCTCTATTGTCCGATTGGATGTTACCCCTGCCCTCTGTTTTTTCCTCTGCATGTCAGCAATAAGAAGAGTCGGTGTAGTTGTGGCTAGTCTCGGTAGTCATAGGTACACTGCTTTTAAACTTTGTACGTCTCTGCCGGCGAAGTGATGATTCTTGTTGAGGCTGTTTGGGTTCGGGGATTGCGAAATCGAGTCATTGGTCTGTAATTGGCTGATTTGTGAGTGCTCGGGATGTCGTCTGTTCTGCTCTTCTCATCGAATCGAGATTTATGGTTATGAATGATGTGACGTGACAGCGGCTTTGTTGTCCACGAGCTACTACTACTGGAATCTGTACATCAACCGTTCTCTTTTGGACTGCAATGAAATCTAGGGCTGCATTTTTTTGTGATTTATATTTTGCTACTTCTGTACAATCGAGTCCTACTTTCGCTCTCCTGTGCGATTGCCTGTGACTTGCTATGCTGAAGTACAAGGGGGTCAGGCTCTGACATTCGAGAGCGGTTTTAAGCGCTGCATTCGCAGTGAATTTGTGAAGGAGACATTCTGGCCCTCGAAAATGACCTTTTTTTTTTCTTATTTCGTTGCAGAAATAAAGTACAAGGGGGAAGGAAGAGGGGGTAGTGTGTGCGGAAGCGGAAGACGTGGTTTGTTGTTCTAGTCTTGATTGCGAAATGAAAGCATCTATGGTTTGTTTCAAGGCCTCAACTCTTATGTTTCATCATTTTGTAGTGGGTGTAGCTTTTTTGTGGGATGGGTACATCAGACATGATGGTTTCTCAGATACAGACGAGTATCATAGATGTAGACACGTTTGGCAATGTCTGGCTGAGAATGTGTTGAAGTTTTTGATTGTAGCACGTTTGGCAATGTCTGGCTGAGAATGTGTTGAAGTTTTTGATTGTAGCAGCAATCGAATGGTGGTGCCCAGTGATGATCCGAATGTTTTTTTTTTTTTTTTTTTTTTTTTTTTTTTTTTTT